CAGTATTCATTTTCCATTAAAAATAGAATCATAGATTCACTAAATAAACAATACTTACTAATAACAAACGAAAAGACACAACCATACAATAGCAACCGTTCATAAAATTAGCAGTTATATACAAAATATATAATTTAAAAAGTATTTAATAGAAATACACAATAGTTCGTTCATAGTTTTTTACGGAAAGTTATAATCTAAAAAATTCAAACGAAAAGACACAACCATATAACAATAATTTTTCTTAAAAATAATTGTTATACATGAAAATGTATACTTAATTAAAATAATATGAATAGAAAGACACAATGGTTCAATAATAGTTTTTCATATTGTTCTTCACATATTAAGGTTTTTTTGTTCTTCTTAGCCTTTTATTTGGTTTTGAAACTTTTTGTGATTTTTCTGTTTTTTTTTCTTTTCCAAACTAAAATCTTCATAATTTTCACATAAATTGGGTTCTTTATTGTTTTTTTTTTAAATTCACATCCAAATCTATTAGGTGTGTAAAGTGCATCTTTAAGCCTCATTATAGTTTGGTATATCATGTTTCATGTGTCAAATCAATTATATAATTGTCTCATATTTTCTAGATAATGAGCGTAGATCCTTCAATTCAAGTTCATCTTTATTTATGGCTGAATAATTTTAAAAAATATATATATAACTAAAAAACTCATAAAATAAAATAAAATATTACATTTTAAGATTAGTGATATAATTGCCAATAAAATTACCATTTTTTGTTTAGTCCAAATTTTTTGGCTTTTGTTCCAAAAATATTTTTTTGGAAAATGTGCATATTTTTCACATTTCATTTCAAGTTTTTCTTTATTCATCACTAATCATCTACTAAAAAACTTTCTTGTAACCCCATTTCTGTAAAAGTTTCTTGCAAATGAACAATATTTTTATTAAGGAATTTTAAGTTAATTTGAAGTTTATCAACAATAAATTGATATATAAGATGTTGTTTTCCAAAGTAAGAGAGCATTATAAGAAAAAAAGTTCAATAAAAGATATAAAAAACATTGAACAAAATATATACAATCTTGAAAAGACATAAGTATTCAGAGAAGCAACCGTTGATAATCAGCAGTTATGTTCGAAATGGTACAATTAATAAAATAAAATGAAAAGACACAGCCGTAAAATTATAACGTTTGAATAACTCAACAGTTATAAATGAAAATGTACAGTAAAAAGACACAATTGTTCAAAGATTCATGAATTATAACATTTGAATAAATTAGCAGTTATAAATGAAAAGGTACAATGGAAAGACACAATGGTTCAAAGGTTCATTCATAGTTTTTCATTTTGTTATTATTAATAGATATGAATAAGATTAAAGGAGGCCTTATATTTCCATGTGACGTCGTTTTATATGAGATTAACCACCCCTTAATGATAACACCGTATTTGTACCCATTTCACCATTGATTTCAAATGCTTTTTCAAAAGTTTTAATCAGTTTTAGGAACTTTTATTATGATTTCTCTATATTTGTAGTTTCAAGACTCTTTTCAGCAAACTTAGAGAAAAATATGGCAAAATCAAAGAAATTCACATTTTTAGCTCAAAGTCAGACCGTCAGAAGTGCAACCTCAAATGAAGACTTTCTCACAGTCTGGTCCAGCTCAAATTTGGAAACATTCAAGAGGAGACTACCAGCTTTCATAGCACTTTACATCAGGAAGATCCAACGGTGCAATCAAAAGATACATGGAGAACTAGTTGACTGAATTCACCAGTCCCACAAGATTCTCACCCGCGGCAAACATGCATTTTTCATGCCTCCGAAGACTTTCACCCCCAGTGGACCATATCCGAGCCACAAGGCCCAACATCAGAGCCCATTTCACCATTCCTCTTTAGAGAAGCCCTAAATGAGACCTGGAAGACCTTAGGACCTATAAATACATTTCTTAGCAGTCCTAAAGGGATGTGTGCTCCTGTAATAATATTTTGAGCCACCAAATTTTTTTTTCCTAGGGTTAGGCGATGGAGAAGGGGATTCTTCCCTAGATCCATTGTTCTTTCTCCTTTTTATCTAATTAACTTTTATGTTTGTTTGGGAGAATTTGTTTTATAATGCAAATTGAATTACAATTTTTCCCCTTAATGTTTTCTAAAAAATATTTGTCCTTTTAATGTTTAATTTAAATTTAATCCAATTATACCCTTTAATTAGGCATTAATAAATTAATTTATTTTTAAAAATGTTTTAGGAATAAAAAAAAAGGAAAAACAAGTAGAAAACCAATTCTACCAAGATTAAAAAAAAAAAGAGAAACCCGATCTTCTTCACCTTCACCGTGAGTCTCCATCTCCTCCAAGTCACCTGCAAACTGTAAGTAAAACATATTTCTTCTTCTTCCTCCTCTGTCTGGGTCGTATTCCTCACTTTTTCTTTTAGTATTCTCATTCAAACCCTTGATTCTAGGGTTTACAATTTCTCAATTGATTTGGGGGTTTTGTTTCTGGGTTTGAGTTTTCATTCAATTGTATTCTCATTCAATTGTTTTTGAGTTTTCGCTCATAGCTAATTTCGAATCACTGGAACTCTGTCGGCTTGATTAGCAGCTTGCATCTCCCTTGAGTTTTCGCTCTTTCTCCACCTTGATTAGCAGCTTGCATGTCTTTATCTGCCGTAAATCCATCATAGTCGTTCTCCCTCGTTTCTGTCGCAATCGTCGTAAGCAACTTCATTTCTCATTTGGCTATATATTCTTCAGCTGTGTTTTCTCGTTTACATGTTTGAGATATATGGATTTGAAGTTTTCTCATCATGCTTTTTCTGGGTTTCTATAGAAGTTTTGATCACAATAGCTTGTTGATTTCACCATGTGAAGTAAACTAATGTCTTAGTTTTGCCATTTTTTTTTCGCTAAGCTCTTTGTTTTGCCATTTGTCTTTGCTCTCTGTTGATTTTGTTGTTGTCGCTAAGCTCTTTTTTTTTCGCTAAGCTCTTTGTTTTGCCATTTGTCTTTGCTCTCTGTTGGATTTGTTGTTGTTTGTTCAAAGTTTTGAAACTTTAAAATGTTTGTTCTCATATGATATACTCGTTTGCCAGTTCCAAGCTTTAGCGGATCACCTTTTCCGCAATCCAGATTACCATAAACAAGTTAGGAAGCATATTGTAAAGCAGGTACGTTCTGAGATCCATTCTTGTGCCTAAACTTATAGATCTGTTATGGGAAGAATGTCGAGCTCTGTAGTTAGTGTCTTTACGGATGTCTGTATAGTCTACGTACTAGTTGTTTTACTTTACTCTTGCTTCTTATTATTAGTTGGTCCCCTCGTTTATAATATAGAAGTAGCTAATCATCTCATGAATAAACGACTGTGGTTGCGCACTCCGGTAAGTACCTTTAAAATTGATTTTCTTAAAAATCATAATGTGTTCAACTTTGCCAATGTGGTTAACCGATGTTAATGTTGCAGGAAATGGATGGAATTATGTACTTATTTCGAGAGTACACTTCTTTGGACCGCTTTCCACGTCCTCGTGTTGGCTTCATGACCTGTAATTTCAGCGTCACAGTTGGTGCTGCGTAAAAACAATTGCTGATGAATAAAAGAAGATACCAGTTGGACCAGTTGCTCATACAATATGGATTAGGAGCGCTTCCTGCACATGGAAGAACAGACAAAATTTGGGGTGTCGACGTTGATCGTATATATACTCCGGTCAATGTCAAGAACAACCACTGGATATCTTTGTGCATCAATTTCGAGCTGAGAACAGTGGAAGTTTTTGATTGCGACGGGGGCAAACACAGCCGGTACGTGGATGCATTCGCAAACATCATCCCTAGAGTTGTGAAGGAAGTTCAAAGTTACAAAGAGAAGAAGCAACTGGTTATTAAACCGTACACAGTGAAGTATGTTCCGATGAGGCATGTGATCAACAGGAGCTCATGTGATTGTGGAGTTTATGCGCTCAAATTCATTGAGTGTCACATGCTTGGACTACAATTGTCTTTGCTTAACGACGACAACATTTACGCAGCTAGGATGAAGATCACCTATGATCTTTGGAAAGCAGCACATGATCCAATATTGATTGAGCGGATGAGACAGTATGTGCCTCCGAAAATAGTGTGCTCAGATGATATTGTAGACTTGTTATAGGTTTGACAGATTTCGTTTTAGGTGGTTCAGTTTTTTTTTTTTTGGCATCGTATTTTTCGTTGCTTGACATTGTGTTCTTGACGTAGTGATTTTATGTTGCTTGATCTGATTGCTCATTTTTTTCATTGATCCAGAAAATTCAGCAACACAAGGTTTTCTCGTAAAAGAAAAAATATTCTACATGAACTTTTTAGATTAGAAATTTAAAAATAAGAAAGTCGTTTTTTTGGGGTTGAAGAACCCAGTAAATGCATTTTTTTGGGTTAGAAAGAAAAAAAAAAAATGGAACTCCGTCCAGGGGGTATCAAACCCAGGTCTGAGAGAAGGAATGAACAAAGAGTTGTTTCCTTGCAATATCTTTTAACTTAATGTCGTTTTTATTATAAAAAAACTGGAACTCAGATATTGAACCCATGTCTGAGAGAAGGAATGAACAAAGGGGGAACCAATAGAGCTATTGTAGAAATCGAGAATTGTTTCCTTGCAATATGTTTTAACTATATAATGTCGTTTTTAATAAAAAAAACCTGGAACTCCGTCCAGGGGGTATCGAACCCAGGTCTGAGAGAAGGAATGAACAAAGGGGGAACCAGTAGAGCTGTTGTAGATATCAGGAATTGGGCCCTAGCAAAATGATTTAATGTGTTTCATTTTGTTTTTTTTTTTAAATCTCTGAAATCCCATACGACTTGTTGTGCCTGAAATTCATCACATATCGTACAGAGCATCTCTAAACTAAGTTAAACCTCCAGTTTGGCACTTAAACTTGAAAACCAGTACAGAATTTGTCTTTCATAAAGTGAAAATAAATAAGAAAACCAAATAAGCAAAACGAATACAATAAAAAAGAGATAGAGAAGAGCCTATATTGGCATGTCACATGTCCCTCTCTTATGTCTTTTGATACCACAGCGACTGCACTTGTGCTTCTTAGACCGTTGTGATCCTTGGAACGCTCGTATCTTGTCTTCCACACTTTCGTATCGTCGTTTTTTCCTGTGTCCAGCTGCTCGTCGCGATTCCGGTTCTACAACTTTGGCATGTTCAACATGATCAGGGACACACCAATCATCCTCAGGACCTGTAATTGGATTAATGCATTCCTCATAAGCTGTTCTCCATGCCTCAGTAGTGTAATAATGATCGGTGGGAGTGTGTATCTGCTGGTTCACAGAAAACGCTGCTTTAATTGCATGCCGACACGGAATTTTAAGCAAGTCGTACTTGCCACATGAACAAGTTCTTCTGTCCAAATCAACAATGACAGTCATATTTGTCACCTCTGACCAAAACTCGATCCTGGCTAACTGGGTAAACAATGAATGTTTTACCCTTATCAATCCTTCTCTCGATCTTTGTCTCAACCTCAACTGTTAGAGGAGCCTGATGCTTTGAGCTAAGTTTTTTACTCTCAAAAAACCAATTGGTTAACATTTCTCTGATGCTGTCGAGTAGAGGAATAACTGGGTACTCTCTAGGAGTTAGCAATTTATTATTTATCGACTCAGCTGGGTTAGTGGTTCTAACATCGTACCTAAATCCGGGGAATTTGCATCGTGCCCATTTCTCAACACCAGCGTCCTGAAGATACTTTCCAACAGCTGGACTAATATAACAAATGGCAGCAAACTTGGTATCAAAAGCAGAAACTCTGTACTCTTTAGAAGCCTTCGCAATCAAACCAGTCAAACCTTGTGTCTTGAAAAATGTTATCACATTATTCAGCAAGTGGTGGATACAGATACCATGGCTAGATTGTGGGTACACTTTCTCAAGTGCTTTAATTACAGAAACATTTCTATCTGACACAAAAGCCAAACGCACCTCATCCGCAATGACAACTTTTAGTTGCCTCATAAACCACTCCCAAGACAGGTCGTTATCTGAATCGACAACCCCAAATGCGATCGGATATAAGTTCGAGTTGCCATCTAATGCTGTAGCAACGAGCAAAACTCCTTTATATTTATTTTTCAAAAATGTCCCATCTACAACAATCACTCTGCGAATAGCTTTGTAAAAACCTCGTACTGATTGACCGAAAGAGAGGAACAGAAACTTGAAACGTCCTGTAATGTCAGTTTCATACTGCGTATGGGTCCCTGGATTCGCTTCTTTCAGCATGTGCAAATATTTAGGAATTTTGGCATAGCTTTTCCCGGGAATGCCTCGAACAATACTAATCGCATACTCACGTGCTTCCCAAGCATGGTCGTAAGAGATGTCACATCCATGCTCGGTACGAATAAAATGAATTATTTCTCTAGGGCTAGGTCCTGCATTAGCACCCTCAAACTTATTATTAATCAGATTACCAATAGTTTTTGCTGAAGCTGTCCTACCGACTACGTCTTTATTAGAAGGAGCGCATGTATGTTGCGCGACATACTTATTGATTCTGAATACTCTGACCCTTCAAGACGCTGTGCACGAATACGCCAGTTGTATGACTTCTCTTTGCAGCGGATACACCACACACGTTTGGTTGATTCCAGTACGTTGTAGTCAAAATTATACTTCATCGCAGAAATTTTCAAAGAAGCCTTCAACTCTGTTTTGCTTCTAAAAATTTGATCCTTCTTTACGACATCAAGCAAGTTAAGCCGAACGTTCTGCTCACCATCAACTTTTTTGTCAACTATAACGGGTTCATCAAACTCTTCCTCAACTTTATGGCCAATGCCTCTAATATCATCATCACCTGACTTCACAACCTGATCGTTTTTCATACAGCTTGAATCAGAGGCTTTCTTCATCAATTCGATGTTAATCGGAATCTCAGGATGTTCAGCGTATGCAGTGAATGTCACACACAGATTTACCGATGTTTTATTCCTAGAGTACCCAACAAAATTTTTGAGCTGACGATCATTAGCGATACTCACTGGTGGAGAGCCTACAGTATCAATCAAATCACTCGGTAGATAACTAAACTCAGCTTTGTGATCGACTACTCCATAGTCTTTTAGAACCATTGTTTCTAACTCTACGAGAGTCGTATTTGATTAAACAGCAACTAACCTAGCTCGTTTTTCTGCATCAGCCACAAAAACCCACTTCTTATCTGTCCCTGATTTCCATGAACCACAAGTCACATAGATATGTAGCATGTTTGAAGCAGAAAATATGTAATTTTAGGAAAAATCTGCTTGATCAATAAGAAAGAAGAAGAAGAGAACGATGACAGCCAAAACAAGGAAAAAAAAAATCAAAACTAATAAAAAAACGTTGAAAATTAAAAAAAAAAAGATTTTCGAAATATTTAAAATCTGGAAGTTAACTAATTTTCCTAGATTTTCTCAGATTTTGGTAGAAGATGTATTCTACGTTAATGTAGAATGCAGTCTAACAGGTAGAAGATGCATTATACGTTAATGTAGAATGAAGTCTAACAGGTAGAAGATGCATTCTACGTTAATGTAGAATGACGTCTACCAGGTAGAAGATGCATTCTACAATAACGTAGAACCTGGTCTAACGGGTAGAAGATGTATTCTACTAACATGTAGAATATAGTCTATCTAGTAGAAGTTATAATCTATCAATCGATAGAATATATAAAGACCTATAGAAAACGACTTCTACATGCTGGTAGAATATGTGAAGAACTACAGAAATGGAATTCTACGTGGACGTAGAACATAGAACATGCATTCTACCAAACGTAGAACGAATTTTATAAATATTTTAAAAATATTTTCTTTCCATAAATGATATACGAAAATATTTTAAATTCCTTTTTAGGTATTTTCGAAATTTTTAAAATATAGTTTCAAATTTATTTTTAATTATAACTGCCATAACTAATTTAAAAGGGTAACTATGTCAAAAAGTGACAAAAAAACAGAAAACATTAAGGGGACAAATGTTAATTCAATTGACATTATAAAAGCAATTCTTCCTTTATCTTTTGCATTCTTTCATGTCTTTTATCATTCCTTGCATCATATAGATCTGCCCCAGAGAGTCAAGTTGTTGAAGAGTCATCAATAGGCATATATGTTTGATTAGGATTTCTAAGTTTCTGGACCATATTCTGGATCTCATCTCTTCTAAGTTGTTCATATTGCATGAGAGTAGATTCATGTCATATTCTCTGAGCCTACGACTGATCAGAGCCACGAGAATGCTGTATCAGATCATCTATACCTAGCTTCAGAAGAACATAGTCGCTACAGGAGTCGAGAACTACCTGTAGAGAAGATGTGAGCAGACGAATTCAATAGTTAATGCATGATCTTATTTCTGGCATGAGAGCGGGAGTTAATTGTCAGATTTGAGTGATTAGTTGATTGAGATGGCGAGAGTTGGTTAATCATACACATGTCTATTCTAGTTCCATGCAGATCACAGAAACAGATGAAGATAAATTGCCCTGAGGCTAATTAGAAATGCTTTGACATCGATTAAAGTAAACCGGAGAAGTTAAATCGCCACCTATGAGTTTAGAGTCTATAGTTTGAGTCGACATCCTTGAGATATTCTTTTAACAATTCATTTGCATTGCATTCTATTTCCTGTAAATATTAGATTAGGTTTAGTATAGGATTCTTAACCAAAAACCTCAAATCCCCATGAGTTTATGACTTTGCTTACTTTTCCAGTTTTGTTGTTTCTTGCAGATTAGACATCTTCCCTGTGAATTGACACCTTAAGTCCTACAACGTATGTCTGTGCACTTGCAGATACTAGGGTTTTATAAATTTAAGACTTTTAAGACCAATGGGCTTGTAAAAAAACACAACCCTGAGGCCCACCATGTCAAGTTTTTGGCGCGTTGCCAGGGAATATTTTAGTCGCTGGAGGTCTAAACCCAGGAGGTTGAAGCCGCAGAAGACTATATATATGTCGAGTTTCTGCCAAAACACCATAGGAAGTAAACTGAACTCATAAACACCCTAACTTTTTATTTTTCTGCTTATTCTTTCTTCTGTTTGCCCTAGTTTCAGAATCTTTGAAGCATGGATCATCCAAGAAGAAACCCTAATCCCGAGTGAAGGTTTTGCAACCTGTGTGAAGCTCCCTGCGCATGTGAATCACCATCCAGGCGTGATTCTGACCATCTTGTTCGGCCGAATTATCCGAACCACTACCATGGAGACTCGCGAACTCCACACCACCGAGATGAGCCCTATTCGCCACACTTAGTGAGCCGTCGACCATCTCATCCCTTACCTCATCAGATTCTACACTAGAACTATGAGAACAATTGGTTTAACATCATGCTTAATCGATTGGAAGCCAAGTTGAATCAGTTCCTTGCCCCCCAAGCCCTAATCGAAGCTGCCATGCGGACAAGAATATATGCAATCACCATCGACCTTAACAAGAGGTTTGATGACCTATCTGAGCACGTGAAGACACTGGAGGATCAGAGAACCAAAGACAATGAAGTGTTGAATCAGAGAATGGAATCTGTCGAAGAAGAGCAAGGGAAGAATAAATTCAACATTCGACAAAGTGAAAGGGAGCTGCAAACCCTATCTTTCAAGACTGATGACTTGGATAAAGAGCTGAATGAAAGCAAGAACCAGCACATTGGAGCTATGGCAAGGCGTAGCTAAGGTTGAAAACAAGACGGAAGAGCTTGATGCTACTTTAGATAAAGTTGTATATGCTTTAGATGAAGTAGAAGAGAAAGTTGAAAAACTTTCTAAAGATCATAAGGAGTATGATTTGAACACTGGAACCAATGATTTGAATGCCCAAGACGTGCCTGACAGCCACTGGAGAAGAATAGACTGAAGAAGCAAGCATGGTGAGCCGGGAGAAGCTGACCGCGGATGCGAGCACTTCACCCGTGGCCATTACCACTTCCACCGCGGCCCAGAGCACTTCACCCGCGGCCAAGCCTGATTTTTCAGACTGGGAGTCCTTTCAACCTCCTTCTGAAACCTGTTCAACTGAAGACCGACCTATTGTGACCAGATCTAGATTGTTTGATCAAGCTGTCTTCTCAATCACTGCACAAGCATCGAAACAAAATGAAGAACCCAACACTTATGCATCTTGCAACATGGTTTACACTTGTGACAATGAGCTTCAAGAGCAATTCTCTGAAGATGAAGAGTATGGTTTGTTTGTTAAATATCCAAACCCTGGTGACAATTCATTGGGTCCAGTGTTCATTTGGTTGGATCTTCAACAAACAAACCATATTTGTTTAACACCCCTCAATCACCACTATACCAATTTAAACCAATTTTATAATGTGAACATGTCAAAATATGACTAGGATAATAATCAGTACTTTAAAATATATTTGTGTTCATGCTACTACTTTTCAGGGACTACGAACCAGTGTTTTAAAATATTGAAAACAATGAAAAAATTATACGAATCTCACCATACTCGACCCATAAGTGTCTTATGCTTTTATAGTCTTTTTGTCAAGCTTAAGCCAACAATGATGGAAAGAATACGTATAATAATATTCCTGGAATTTTTTTTCATGAACACGTTGTTAAATTGATTTTATAACCAAGAATGAAGCGTATAACCGAAAATTTTTATTTACAAGGCAGTATTACTATGAATACGGTATATCCCCAAAAAGTACAACCATGTGGATGATGAGTATAACTGGAAATACAGGTACAACTATGTTTAAAATTCTCATTTACAATAAACGACATGTGTCCATTATAAAACAAATTATGTCGACGACACGTGAGTCTGATAACACCATATTTTGACCACTTTTATGGATCGTTTTGAAATACTTTTTCTATGTTTTTAATTTCTTTTAAGTACTTTTATTACGTTTTCTAGTATTTGTAGTTCCAAGACTCTTTTCAGGAAACTTAGGGAAAAGCTTAACAAAATGGATAGAAAACCAGATTTCAGCTCAGAGTCAAACCGTCAGAAGTTCACCCCTGATTGAAGGCCTTCTCACCGTCTGATCCAGCTCAAATTTGTAGACCTTAAAGATGGAAGTATCAGCTTTCCAGTGCACTTTACAGCTTGGCAATCCAACGGTTCAATCAAAAGATACGCGAAGAGCAAGATGTCCCGTAAACCAGCTGGCCAGCACTTCCACCCGCGGCCAACAAGCATTTTCCCGCGGTCAGGAGCATCCCGACCGCGGCAAACCACTCCTCATCCACCGTGGTCACACTTGTCCCGACCGCGGCCTTCAACCTCCGAGCCCAAAAAGCCCATTTCTGAAGCCCACATTTGGAGAAACCCTAAGTGACGTCCAGAGAGGTCTTGAGCACTATAAATACATGTCTTAGGAGCCCTACGTGTAACCTATCACCACCGAAATATTTACTTCAAACTTTTATTGCTTTTGCTTTAGCTTTTAGGGAGAGAGAGATTTGTTCTCTTGAACCCTTGTTCTTTCTTTATCAATTTTGGTTTCTATTCTACTTCTTAATATTATGTCTTTGATTTCGTTCATTATGTCTGAGTAGTTTTATTGTTGGGATTAAGGGATTTTCGATGGGGATTTATATGTTCGGTGAGGATTCCATTGGCTATTGAGCTGAATCTTAGAACTTTTTCTTCTGAATTCGTTTTTACTGCATGAGGGTAGCGTCATGAACTACAATCTGATCCAGATGCTTGGTGACACGAAAGTGTTCATCAGGTATCAGATCTAGTTTAGGAGAGCAAAACAAACATAGAAGTGGAAACCTACCTATGGGCGATTTGTGAATTAGGACGAGTCTTAAATATAATGCATCTCTTCTCTTCTAGGGCCAGAGTGGAAACCTACTGGTCAGGGTTGAGAGAGATAGTTGTCTATGATCACGACAGTGGCGTATTCATACGTCCGTGACTCCAGTTCGAAAAGTTTAAGCTAAGATCTTATCAATTTACTCTCTAGCAATGTCTTGAATCGTTCGTACCCCTGAGAAAACTTCCCTGAACCCCAACGCTTTTTTCTCCATTGATTTACACTGATTTTCTTTAAGCTTTAGTTCAATATTGTCTTTCCTTTTTTAGTTCATTTTCATTTAAGCATTAGAAT